GGCCTTGTCAGTAGCTTGATTATTTGCACATTTATTGTGACTATATCATGCACAAACCGACTGAGAACATTCTAGAACTTGGCATAACTAATTCAACTACTTGCTACCCCTGCCTTCTTATGACAGCTAAGAAATTGACCGAAAAATAAACGCCTGCTATGACAGCTATATTGATAGCATTTAGCTGGAAAGAATCAATAGTGCAATTCATTATGGTCAGTTTTCTCGTTCAGTAACAAATGCGTTTAATACATTTCACATAGTTCCTTCATATTAAATTGTAAACGTTTATTCGGGCACTTTTCGACTTCGTAAAACTATCCGCAAGACTTTCCAACGTAGAAGACTGTTTAAAGTATATATCTTGCATCCACAACCCTGGCAATTCATCCGCTACTATCATTCTGCATCGTCAAGCTTACTCTACTCATAATAAGACTAGTATTTAGGCGAATTGACGCGATCTACAACATGTGTTTACCCGACAGTGCTTTATCGGGTACGATGATTCGAGGCTCCTTCTTATAACGATGTCATCGCTATGCAGACACGACGTTAACTCGCTTCCATTTTGTTCCCATCAACATACTATATGTCGTCGCTCACGTATAATTGTTTTGTTTTCATCATAGCTAGCCTTTAGCTCGCATTGACCTCATCCTTCCTCCACAATACGTCAAACGTAATGACGGATGTGCTACATATACGAAACAGTCTGGGGACTCAACATTAGTCCCAACACACTAATAGTCTACCAGTTGTCAATCCCACCGTTTAATTTGGGCAGGGTAATGTTCAGTATCTTGATTTTCTTATCTTTACGGAATTACTAATAAAGAGTACAAGCTTCAGAGGACACTACCACTGTATCAACGAGTTTGACTTAGCCCATCATATCTACTGAATTACAGTAGGTATCTACGTTGCAGTTCCTCGACAAGTGATCTAGACTTCTCTTAATCGCTGCGTTATGTGCGGGACATCGCCCGCTTCACATACCTAAAATGCACGTTCATACTCAGAAAGGCATAAAGAGTTGTGAATATGATAAAAAGGATAGACAAATGTGTCTTTTATGTGTCACTGTACAACATAATCTATAACGTTTCATTTTTCTTTGTATGACCATTTGTCATATAATTTCCACGCGCATATTACATGTTTCACGCCTTGTTCCCACATCAATTTAAGCCGAGTGAGTACTGCAAGTTGCAATTATTACCATTGACGATTTAGACATCTTCCGGGCCCTTACAGAACCGGAGAGTCTGAATAACATTATTACTACTAACGAGCATCGCAAGTCTCGACAGTACTTTTTGCTAATATGACCGCATAAACCTGACATGTTTGAGATTCTTGTTGACAGATTAATGACTGTGTATAAAATACCTGAACATACCATATATTTCGTGCAGATTACTGTGAACGCTGAGATTCATTCGGGCACCATATCGGACCACTAAATGAATCTGGGGCTTGGGCCGATTCGCTACGATGGTGGCATCACGGATCCACAAGGCTGCGAAACGATGCAAGACAAATATATTAACTACATTCGTATAGCTTAGATACACACATAGGTACGTTAGACATGGCTTGTGCTGCTGTTGAGCTCACATGCATGAGCATGACATTGCACTACTAAAGCAATCGAACGAGAGTACTGTTATTCTATAAGTTCAGCATATCGCTGATTGCGACAGTCATGCTACTTCACTAAACCTCTTTTGGAGATAAAATTGGTTTTTCGCGCCCTACACGATCTAGTATAATTCCTTGAGTTTATCTTATTACAGGATGTCAAAATGGCTTGCTCATGGGCTACATTGCATATTCACATTTCCGGTGAGACAATCATGTTAATTTATCAAGGCCATCAACGTCTCACGACTATTCGACGACAGAGGCTGCTAATGGTTTAAAATCGTAGGCCACAATGTAATACAGTAGAATGAATCCCTCTCAATCATTCCCTGTTGGCTAATACCAATTTGTAGTTAAGATAGCGATTCCTGCCAAACGTGGCACCCATGCTCTCCTTTATACTGTACAATTGCAAGCAGATCACGTGACTATCTAACCCCTCCTACCTAACACCCTTTACTACCTACTTTTTCAACTGCCCGATTGCAAAAGCTAAGAGGGGTTCCACTGGAAAACATTTAGACACAACCAGGCCTTACTTCACAAAGGCTCGAATACAGGTACGACTAACCCAAACGCATTGTCTCGCTGAGGTGTATCCGGCCCTTTGCAGCCAAGTAGTCATTTGGCACTAGCGAATAGATTGCATGGCTCAGCCCTTCCTTGCGTTTAACCTCCACAGCCGAAAGAATCCGATTGCACGTTCTTGTCCAAGTATCACTCATTCTCGGGTAAATAAATGACCAAGTACCAGCAGATAATACGTCACCTCGAAAGAGAGCGGCGTGGGCCATCACGGACAAGAGCCAGGTGGCTGCAGGAATGACGCAGCAAGTCGATCGGACAGGCGACTTGTGACTTGTCGCCGTGTCACTGGTCGAAAGCCGCAGAAGCAAATTCCTTTCTGACGCAATGATCGCAAAAGATTCGCAGGAATTACGTTATTTGGTTCAACGGGGTATGGTTTCTCGGGCTCCTCCTCTGCTGCTCCCTCCGGCCGCTGTCCACATACAAAGGCCAAGTCACTTCGGTGGCACTTGTCGGACTTGTTCTCCTTCTCCCTTTTTCTTTCGCAGAGCCAAAAGAAGCGACTGCCCGGAAGAGCGACCGCGAGAGACCGACCCGTAGGTGCGTACGCGCTCGACACGTCGTCGGACGCTCAGTACGGATCGCTCCATCGGTGTCCGCACTGCTGCTAGCAACTCCTGCACGCGAACGACCGACCGACCGACCGACCGACCGACTTGCTAACTCGTGTTCTTTTGCATTGTATCGCACTGTTCTTTATGTGCGTGTATGTGTTTTAAACAGTTTGGAGTCCACGTATACACTTGAGGAACACCGCTTGCAATGTCGTACGCATACTTGTTCAAATACATCATCATTGGCGACACAGGTGCGTGGGTTGTTGTTGGTCTTGGTGTTGCTTTGATCCATGGTGAACGGTTCGGTGTCGAGTTTTAAACACGCAAACCAACCGATTGATTCGCGTTTGTTTCTTACACAGGTGTCGGCAAGTCGTGTCTGCTGCTGCAGTTTACGGACAAGCGCTTCCAGCCCGTGCATGACCTCACGATTGGCGTGGAGTTTGGTGCACGCATGATCAACATTGAGAACAAGCAGATCAAGCTGCAGATCTGGGACACGGTCCGTGAGGCGACACGATCGGCTGTTTTGTACACTTTTTGTCCCAGTGTACGATGACTGGACCGTGGCACGCACTGACTGTTTGTATGGTGTGTTTTATACGTGCTGCTGCTGTGTTAAACGGCAACCAGGCTGGCCAAGAATCGTTTCGCTCGATCACGCGGTCGTACTATCGAGGCGCTGCTGGCGCACTGCTGGTCTATGATATCACACGACGAGAGACGTTCAACCACTTGACGAGGTGGCTCGAAGAAGCGCGTCAGAACTCGAACTCGAACATGGCGATCATGCTGATTGGAAACAAGAGCGACTTGGAGCACCGCCGCGCAGTGAGCTTCAAGGAGGGCGAGCAGTTTGCCAAGGAGAATGGCCTTATTTTTCTCGAAACGTCTGCAAAGACTGCTGCCAATGTGGAAGACGTACGATCTGCGTACCATACATGTGCTCATGTCGGCAGTGTGTTTCAGGTGACTGACGTTTGGCTGACGTGGCTCGCGTTTGATTGTTTGACTTGCTAGGCGTTTGTGAAGACGGCGTCGAAGATCTACTCGAACATCCAGTCGGGTGTTTGCGACGTGACGAACGAGGTCGGTTGACGCTTGCATGTGCTTTCGTGTTTGGTGTTGCTGACGTGCGATTTGCTTGATGCTGTCGTGGTCGTGGTATGCAGGCGCACGGCATCAAGGTGGGCATGACTGGCTCACCTGGCCCTGGTGGCTTTGGCAACTCGAACCCTCCGGCCAACCGCGGCTGCTGCTAGAGGGAAGAGGCACCGTTGACAGGCAGAGGAAGCAGTCGAGACGTCAGCAGGGTTCTCGTGAAAGCCGTTGAGCCTCGTTTCAATACTACTAGCTTTCGTTCCCATGTTTTCTGGCCTAATACAACCACACCAACGCTCGTCGAGGTTACATTGTTGGTCCTGATGCAGGGCCAGAAGGCTTTGTTGACGTAAAGACTGCTGTCAACGACATGGGTCGGCTTTCGCTACTGAGGCCAGTCATTGACACGCCATGCTACCGTCAGCAGCTTGAAGCTCGTAGTGGCAAGCTTGTCGAGATGGCAGCACTGTATCACAAGGACGACCAGAGTACAACAAGGTTGACTATCTCGACAGGTTTCCATCGTCAGCTAGATACTGCATCTCAGCATCCAACGAACCGACGGCTGTCTTTACACTTGCACAGTTTGTGGGGTTCGTCAGTCATGAGCGGTTGTTCAGTTACGAGCGACACGTCAATGGTACGTATGAATTCACGCACTGACCATGACAGGCTAGCGCCAAGTCGACCTCATCTTCTACTTCATCCACAACACAGCAATCACGACAGTCCCATTGACGACACACAAGATGCAAGTCAGTGCCACGATAGCAGTGCATACCACCATTGACACGCACACACACACACCAGTAAACCACCTTGCCCTGCCATCCCCTTAACTCACAACGTACCTCATCGCGAATGCAATCGAACCAAAACCTGCTTTCTGTTGACAGTTCACTGGCCACGTCAAGGACCACGTCGACGTACAATCCGCGAGACAATAGCACTTGACTGCGTCTCCATGTGTCACTCACCAGCAATTGCTTGTCCAGCTATACGTCCACGGACTGTCACTATCGCAGGTTTGACGTTGTTGTGCCGCTGTTCGCTTGCGACACGACGGACTCCTGACCTGCCCCAAGTTCTCGCAGAACCTGACCAACGATGGCGGCCAAGCGCGTGGTGTACAAGCTATCGCCTGGTCTGAGTCACATGCTGGGCAAGAGTGAGCTCACACGTCCAGCTGCGATCAAAGAGTTGTACGTTGTTGCTGCATCGTCTCAATTGCTTTGACGTAGCCATCTTCAGTTGCCATGTCAATGCGTTCAATCGCGAAAGCTCATCCTTTTTGGTCGTGGCAGTTGGGCCTACGTGAAGCAGCACGAGCTGCAGGACCCGAACGACGGACGGATGATCCATTCCAACCACGAGATGAAGTCGGTGTTTCGAGTCGACCAGATTGGCTTGACGCAAGTCATGGGGCTCATCTCGAAGCACCTGGAGAAAAAACCTGACCAGCCAAAGCAGATGTGACACCTCCTGGCCACAACACACGACAGCAAAGTCACGGACGAGTCAACGAGGAGCACAGATGCGTTACCGTATACCGCATGCGGACTTTCCCGTATGTGAGCGTCGGTTTTCACGGTCACTTTGTGTCTAAGCTTGGCCTATATCTTGGTCGTGAGCACTCCTTCCTCGCTCAGAAAGGTCTCTGGACCCGAGCATCGACTGTCTTCGTTGTCACGATCCGTCTGCTGCTCATGCTCCACAGCACCCGTCGCAATATTGTCGTCTTCTCCGACACTGCGACAACGCTCGTCGTCGTCTACGAGCTGCATCTCGCGGTTCACTGAAAGGCGCACCTCATCCAGCATACAATCCATAAAGCGCTGGCTTTCTTCAGAAGACAAACTTCGTCCACCAAGTAGATCGTCTGGCGGCATGAGATAATGCTGGTGCTGAGATGGCTGAAACGCAGCAAGCGGCTGGCGTGCTGAGGACACTACCAACGCACCGCCGTGACCGTCGAGCGGAACTGTTTCAGTCGTCTTTGCTGGTATTGCGAACATCAATGGAGTGACGGTCGTCGATCGTCGCTTGACCTTTTGCGATCGCAGGGTACGGCCACAAAATTCAGCAGTGAAAAGCTCGAACGCCTCGGTGGAGATCTGCACCATGCTCTGCATGAACTCATCCAGTGCCTGTGAGTACTGCATGTTCTGCTTGCCAACGCCACGGCGCTCTTTGTCCTTCACCTCCACCATGCTCTTCATTAGTCCTTCAAACACAGGATGTGACTTGAAACGTCCAAAGACGCCCATGCGAGCAAAGCGCAGCCAGAAATGAACTCGTTTGAGCTGTTCAGCACCAACTTCATTATTGTCGCCAGGTTCTCGCGTGGTCATGCGCTTGACACATTGATAGAGTCCGCGGAAAGCCGAATTCTTTGACAATTTGCGCAGGAAAGGGTCACTTTCAGTGTACACGCTGGGCACATACTTGATGTTTTCCAGTTTCTTCGGTACCTTAGAGCGGCTCAGCACACTGCGGAAGTTTGGCACGGTACGCAGATCCCGACAGGCACGACACGCGCCCTTTTGGTGCCGACTGCTGGTGCGATTACTGCTTTCAGACACTGGTACAAATCGTTTGCAACGCAGACTCCGAACGCAACGGCCCTCCTTGTCCACTCGCCAGAGGCACTCACTGAACACAGCATCCTGCAGCAGCAGTCGCTGCTCTTCGTTCAGCTTTTCGACAATACGGACCTTTTTGTCGTTGACAAAAACCCGTGGAAAAAGCTCGCGTGCGATCACGTAGCGAGGTCGGCTTCCTCCGATGATTTGGACTGCACTAGCAACGTATGACTGCACATTTTCATCGCGAAGTCCTGTGCAAGGCACGTGGTCGCCCGGCATCACTACACCGCCCACTGTGCAAGTGTCTTCAGATCTTGTCGCTAGCTCCGAGAGATACGTAGCGGCGCTGGAGTCGCCCTCACTTTGTCCCTCCTCATCGCTATCTTTGCATCCGAGCGCTGCGTCTTCATGGCTCTGTCTGTCTGCGCTCGTGGGAACTTCTAGGTCCGTGCTTTCTGTCGCTGCGTTCATGCAGATGCTACCTTGGCTTGTGGGCTCCTTAAAAGCGTGTTCCTTCGCTGGCAACTGATATGACGCAGGCGAAACCATCGACTCCGTGGCTGCTGATGGCACGGTTGCGATCGCTTCCACTCCATGGCCAGGATGACGAGAATCGTTTCCGTACGCTTGCATCGCCGACGATGTCGGGAGCGTACTCAAGTCGACGTCTGCGATATCGCCGATGGACAAATGAGGCACGCCAAGATCAACAACGGATGGATCCATCAGGTGCACGAAGCTTTCGTCGTTTGCCACACACGACGCACTTGACAAATGCCCAATCCCATCGTAAAAGGGGTCACTTGCATGCCGATCTACTTGGCCTGGTTTGGAGTCATCACTGCTTATTGGATGTTGCATGTTTGGCCCGCTAGAAAGTAGCAAGCCCGGTGTGAGTGCTAGCGATTGTCGTTGTTTGCGCCCTCCCAAGTGTTTCTGGAAGAGCTCACAAGCTTCAGGTGATACATCGGCAAGCGAGCGCATAAATGTGTCGAGGGGACTACTATACGTCATGTTCTGCAATCCCACGCAACGCCGTTCCTTGTCCTTTAGTCGCACCATAGCATCCGTCAGACCGAGCAGTGCAGGGTGGGTATCAAAGTCACCCGAGAGCCCCATCACCGCCATCTCCATCCATGTGTTTAAGGCACCAGGAATGTCAGCCAAAGCCAAGTCGCGAAGAGCCCGAGCAAAAGGCTCTTGCATGTCGAACTCGGCTTCAAGCAGTGAGCACACACGCCCGGAGCAAAACTTTCGATTTATCGGGTTACGAGGCAGGCCAGAACGCATCGCGATCTTGTACTGTGTCGCGGCTGTTGCTCTGAGTGCTGCATTGCCAACAAGAGAAGTGCAGTAAATGCACCGGACGGCACCTTTGCTCGAATCAATAATGCCAAGACAATCCAGACTACGCACCGAGTTGCCATCTTTGTCCACAAACCATAATGCCTCACCCTCAATTACATCGTGCAACAGCAACTTTTCGGCCTCAAGAAGCTGCTGCTGGAGCTTGGGTCGTCGATTTGTACAAGAGCTTTGGCTGCTTGCATGGTCCAGCTCAGCGTCATAGTCGGGAGAGAGACCGTCATTTTCGAGGCTATCGGAAAAAAGATGCGGAAAGAGTTCGCGAGCAATCAGTTGCCGATGCCGGGCACCTCCCGTCAGCTGAATCGCAGATGTCACAAACGTGCTCATACGTTCGTCTCTCAGTCCAGGACATGGCAGCAAACCACGTGATCGAGCGACGTCCCATCGAATCTCGCGGGGAAAACTTGTTCTCGCCTGATGCGCCCGCAACAATGCAGACGCAGTCGTAGGTGGTCTCGTCAGCACACCAGACGGACTTGTATTTCGTAACCCCGTGGCCGAGATCGATGCACCAGGCACTGCTACCCTCTGCTTTTTCCACGCAGCACTTGCCGCTGCAGCAGAAGCAGCTTTCATCCTTTTTCTGGGCTTCTGCTTATCAGCCACATGTACCAGGAACTGACCAGGCTGCCAGGGGGCACTGAGCAACACAATGCGCGAGCACTTGCACTCGGCAAAACGCCCGTCAGGTGTAATGCGATTGAACTGGTCAATGCCGCGCAACACTGTCGCTCCTTTATACATACGCAACCGCTTGTGCGATGCCGTGTCGGACGGCGGCACAATTGTCCGCTGGCCACCTGTCTCGACTCCAAACTCCCGTTCGAGAATCGCGTCCACTGACTGCAACGAGTAGTCCCCTGATCCACGTCGTCCATCCACAAAATCAACGTCCTCTTTGCTTCCATCTCGAGCCACAATTTCCATCGGCGCGTGTCCAGTGCCGTCACGCTCGTCAACAGTCCGTCTCGACCTGCAGCTGTCTGTGCCTCGCCCTGTCTTCACTGCCTCGCCACTTTTTTGCTGTTGCTGTCGTAAGAACGTGCAATTGCGACTCGCAACGTGCTGCTCAAACTTGAGAATGTACCACGGCGGGTTCAGGCGCACGTTGCGTCCGCACTTACAGCTCACTGTGCGTCCGTCAGACGTGACCGAAGCCACGACGGGATGCTCCTGCAGCACGCGCATCTTGTCTTCCCGTCGAGAGTAGTACACTACGCCGTTCTGCAGCCGTTCGTAGGCGCTCGGCGTCGTCTTCGACTGCCCTTGAGCTACGTCTGCTGTCGACGCCACTGGCACCAGAGGCAGCGCCACACTCGTCTCAATGCGGTCTGCACATATATCCGGAGCAGACGCAGCAGTTGTGGCCGTCTGATCCGGTGCGTCGTGCATCGGAAGGACGCGCGGCGCCTTTGCAATGGACGACGACGGAGCGGCAGTCGCCGACGCTTTTTTCGACGGGCAATGCCGAAATGTACTGAAAAGAGACCACGTGCGATGGACGAGATAGTGCGCGTGGGGTCATCGTTAGATTGCAAATAGCGTGCGATAAACAGGGAAAATACGTCAGCTTTTTGCGTCACTTAAGACGTTCGTTAGCTATGCAAAAGTGGGGGACGAAATCGAGCGTGGCGGGCGCGGCGGTAGAACCGGAAAATAGAGTCAATGCGATAATGGTGACTTGCAATGGACTGCGAGGGCTGCAGCTTTTGCTGGTAAGGGGTGTCGAGTTTACGCACTGGATGGACCTTGCGAAGAATGTGTGTGCGTGTGCGTGTGCATTGGCTCGTCTTGACCGCAATGGGAAGAAAGGCGCTCAAGCAGGTTTCCCGGAAACTGCAGTCTGTTCACGATGTTGACCATGACGAAACAAAGCTGCTCAGTGACGACACACTAGCGAGAGGCTGTCTACAACGCACAAGTAGTGTTTGCGAATACGAATCGACAGTAGTTGCATTGTTGGCGTTGGCTCAGTCTCGTGCGGTTCCTATAGTGCCGTTCGTTATCCTTCGACTGAAGATGTGTGTGGCCCGCGCTGCTCTCCATCGACAAAGTGACCGAGAAGTGATGGATCGATCAGCGCGTCTTAATTGTACTGCGATGGCAACAGCTCGCCAACGGTAAATGTTGTTCGAGCATTGATGCCGGGCATGCTTCAGCTCTCCGAAGAGTCATTGCAGTAACTTGGTACCGAAGTGCGAAGTCCTGACCAGCATTAGCTGGAAAGATGCCAGCACATCTTGATGTCACTGCTGCAGTACGAGGCTGGACTGAAGGTTGGCGAGCGCACAAGGCATCGTCACAACGACAGAATGATCAGTAGTGAACACAACGTGGTAGTTGACTGTCCGTTGGCCACGGCGGCTCACCATCTTGCTCGTACTGCCCCACACCCAAACGGCGTTGATGGCGCTGTTTGGCGCATCAACGTTGCAGTATTGGAGCGCTTTGCAGTCGAGACGGAGAACGCACGCTCCTGTGTCAAGACGAGGCAGGAGTCGTTGCCTGTGACGCCTCATTGAGTTCCCTAGAGCAAATGTCAGAGGGTCCGTTCGCTATGGTTCGGAGGAATGAGTCATTCGTGCGTCATCATAGCATGATCCCCTTGACATGTGCGTCGGAACTCGAAGTCCTTTGCGCACCACTCGTTGGCACACCATTACATACGATGATGCTACGACAGCATCTTTGGCTGGGAGATTCACTCACGTTGACCTTCCTGTCGTCGACACCGACTTGCGCCCTTCGTTCCTGGTACTCTGCAAGTCAACTCAGTGGTACTCTGCAAGTCTCTATCGCAGCAAAGTTGTTGTGCAGTAATCGAGCGCGTGGGTCTCTCCTCCACGTTTATCACACATTGTGCTGAACGTCGTAGTGTATCCAGTGCGGGCTGTTTCGATTCAACATTACACTCGAATGGACCGTCGACGGCTCATTTCCACACTTGCGAGAGTTTCTCGTGCATGCAACTGATCTCCTGGAAAGCGACATCCGTAATCCAACGCGAGGGATCAGAGTCGGCTATCCCACTTGTGATCCTCTTGGGAACAGCCGTCGAAGCGGAGCCGGTTTCCGATCTTCGTGAACATGACAAGCAGCAGTGGAAGAAGACTCGAAGGAGAAGCTCTAGGAAACGCGAATCGTTTCACTAGAGCCTCTCCTGACGCCGGTAAATCATCGACCATGCGTTTCCATCTCATAACGAGTGATGTACGGATTTCCAGAGGGAGCTAAGCCCTCGTCATGGCCCCAGGCCTCGATCCAAGTTCGTGCCATAACTCGCTCTCTCGACTGCACAATGTGAAAACGGCGCAAGTTCAGTCGAAGAACAGTGAAACGAACGGCGCCTTCTCGAGGCTGTCGTGTCTCGCATTTGCTCAGTTACTGTGCTCTCTCACGAACACGGACTTACCTTTACGTTTTCGCACCAACGTGGCTGGTGTCCGAGTCGCTGTCATAGCACCACACAGGACTTTTCGATCAGTCGTGCATGTTGAACATGAACGAAACCCGTCGTCGGGCGTCGCAGTCCCTTGTCACGCCTTCATCGCCACCATCGCCACCACGAATGAACCTGAAGACCCTGCACAAGTCTTCGAGCTTTCTGCTGGCAAAGCTCAACGTCTTCCGACCGCGCACAAAGCGTACGGAAAATGACGCAGACAGTCGATGGGAAGCAGCTGGACAGGGTAGCAACCTGAACCCGATTCGGCGTGTCAGTGTAGTCGCGCGATCGTGTGACGCCAACGATGCCGACGTGCACTCGGACGTAGCAAAGGCGTCGGCGATTCCAACGATCCGTCGAGAACAGAGCGACAAAGTGATTCGTTGGAGTGACATCAACACTGGGGATGAGACCGATGAGGCCGAAACATCTTCGAGTGAGAAGTCCTCCGTGTGTCCCTGGAAACAACTTGCCCCGACCGTGAAGAGCGAAATCAGCCAAGTCACCGTCATGTACTCCATCTCGTTCTACCCGTGGAAGATGGAGCCACACTGCTACTACTCGCATCCCGAAGCCGCGGCAAATTGGGTCCCCGACACGGCCAGTACCCGCTGTCAGACTTGTCTAGCAGCGTTCACCCTCACACGTCGACGGCACCACTGCCGACTCTGCGGGCATCTCGTGTGTGCCAACTGCTCTCATGACCGAACGTATTTGCCGTTCACGGGCTCCGCTCCTAGCCAGCACCGACTCATCAAGGATGGCGCCCCTCAGCGCACATGCAGCGCTTGTGCAAGTACGCTTCACAACATGGCTGCACAAGACGATCCTCGAGTCAAGCGCTTTACCATTGCTGTATCTTCGGCACGACAGCGGAAACCCGTTGCATCAGCGCTGTCGATTTCGTCAGCTCGGTCGGCAGTAGCGGTAGACGTCGAGCGCCCGTCGCCATGGTTAAGGCGCACTGGTCTGGCGTTCACGGACAGCGATGTCGAGGACGAAGACATGTTCCCCGCATCGATGCCAGCGCTGCAACTGGATCGAGGCTCGCACCGACCTGTGCACCAATGCTCGCTTCGGCTTTCACTCATTCGGGCAGGAGAGCTGGATGATATCTTGAGCGCGCAAATAGGTTCGCAGGCGCTCGCAGCAGTCGATCGTCGGGGCAATGCTAGCGTCCGACAATATGTCATCAGCTCGGCGTGGCTTCACCAGTGGCTGCGGTACGTCCGTGTGAATCCACTCAGCAATGCTGAAGGCGATACCGCGGGCTCCTTGTCCACACAGCAAGTGACGTACGAGAACTACCGAAACAAGGCACAGCGGCAGAAACCGACTGCAAAGACCTCGCGACCGGTAAGAGCTGCTCGACCGGGGCACGTGGCAAATTACATTCTCTTGGACTTTGTCAACGGTGAGCTGGTGCCCAAGCCCAACTTGCAACGAAGCAGAGGAAGTCACGTTGGAGGAGACTACCGCGTTGTGAGTCAGGAAGTCTGGACCGCCTTCTTGGGGCTCTATGGCGGTGGACCGAGCATCCAAGTGTCTCTCAGCAACGATGCCGTTATTGAAGCGGCAGCACCGAAGAACGACCAACATCGACAGTCAGTGCATCCGCCATGGATCATTTCGGAGCTAGAAAGCTCGGTACCCGCTCCAGCAGCATCTCCATCGATTGACAACTGCTCGTCGTCGTTGAGAGAGGGCGCAACGCAACGACGTGAAAAGGAAGTTATGCTCAATAGCATCCAAAACACAAATACGAGATCGATGCCAAGACGCCACTCTGCTCATGGAAAGCACTTGGCCTCCGCCGCTTCTCCGTCGACGCAAATGGAAAGACAACGAGGTGCGGATCGAAGTCATCGGTCGAGCTTACCCAGTCAATGACCCGAAGGCTCAGGCGTAGGCGACAAGTGATCGAGTCGCGCAACGATCGAAAAACAGCGACTTCAAGCACTTTGTTGTCCGAGTTCCGCAGTATCGACGATCGCCACGTTTGCTGCAGTGTCGACACTTGTCAATGCTGCCACGTTGGTATGTCAGCACGTAGCAACAAGTTTCTCCCGTACGACTCTGCTCGAACGGACGGTCTATGCTGGATACGTAGTGATCTAGTTTTAGCTCTACTGAGAAGTCGAAACGACTGCAAGCAAAGTGATCAGGCGGATGGATCACACCACTAAGTCCCACTGCAGCTATGAATATCTGCTTGTCCAACCTGTTCATCATGTGTCGTAAAACTTGTGTTTGATGGTATTGAGCTTGTGAGGCAGGGCGATCTATGCTGACTTGAGAAGAAGAAGAGGACGAAGAAGATTCTACATTGCTACGAAGAGCGCCTTTGACCAGAAAGCTTAAACGACGGACAACCTCAATGAGGCCGATCTCCTTTAACAGCAAAACAGACGACAGCGCTAATGCATCTGACTTCAACTAGACCTGAGGCTCAAGTGGCGAAAGCATGCAATGTGCCGTCGACGATGTCGCTTGGCCACTACTGGCGCCGCTCGTAGACACTCCTTCACATCACCTGGTTGCGCGAGACACTGATTGAGCAGTGGAGACATGACCAAGTGTCACGGGCGTGTGTCGATCGACTGGTCTCAGCTGCTTGTTACGACTCTACCCTCAAGTTTCGTCACTTGGTCTGAGGTAAATGAAGATATCCCACCTCGAGGCTCCTGACATCATCGTTCAGTTCCCGTAGATCGACAGAAGCAACTGAGCTGACCCGTCCGCCTACAGCAAGCGACGGCTCGGCAGCAGACAACGTCGACTGACGATCACACGGGTTTGTGTACTTGGACAGTTCTGCTGTCGAAGACGAAGCACACTCGTGTCGTGTAACCGCTTGCGTGAGCTTATCTGGACTGAGCACGCTGCTTCCGATACCGAAGCTTGTTTATCCAGAGACACAAGCACAGTTCAGACCCTGTCGCTGTTTTACAAGAGCGAACAATTCCATGTCTTTCAACCCTTTGTCCTTTGTTGGTACCACTTCACACCATTCGTCGTCCGACACCATCGCGCCATCTCTTATTTGTTTCTACATATTTTCAATCTTAATTATATATTCACCCTTCTACAAAAGTTGTAAATGGTCACGCCAAGTGACAGAAGACTGAGGTTTGTCACAGTCGACTGCGAGGTGTTGTGTCTGTGACCAAAGAAGCTGCACTGATTCATCGCTTGCTCCATTTTCAGTCTGCTGGTGAATGCGATGATTCCGACTTTGGGTGACAGGGCGATATACCCGGTACCTTCAGATATCCACGATGGCCTACAAGCCCATGACCGCAGGATGAGCTTACGAAATCAAATTGAGTCCTCTCCTGTGGTTTCATCAGTCCGGTCAGGAGTGAGACACCACAGCACTAGTCCAAAACGGACTCCCGCGCGGCCGCAGCTTATTCCCGACTCGTCGAGCACCCAAAGGGTCCATTGCAACCTCAGACGAGCTCGTCACTCTGGTCGCACCTGCGAACGGGATCATCAGCAGTTCTGCCCGCTGCAGTCGTTTCGATAAAACGCGGCAAAGTGCCGTGTCAAGCATTTGACAGTTGATCACTACTATGGTCAGTCGCCCGTTGATCCGCTTATTGAACGCATAGAACTGGCTCTACCTCGACACGTGGATGACGCAACGATGCGTACTGTCGTTTGCTTGTCATACGGCAGTGTGTATGTGGATATGCGCACGGTCGAGGAAGTGGTACACGACCAACAACGCGTACACGTGAACACTGGAATCGAATCCGTGATCGCATATTACCATATTATCCGAGTAGACGATGTTGCTGATATGCGTGGGGTGTCAGTGATGGCAGCAAAGGTGAGAAGCAAAAACGTCGAGCCAGCACACATGTGACGAACTGATAGAATAATGAAGTGCACGAAACATGCTATGCACAAACATAATGCCATCGAGTCAGCGTCTGCTTATCTGTGTTTTTTTATAAAAAGCAGTTGCCTCGCATGAACTGGTCGATTGAGCCTTTGGGCACCCAGAGCAGCGTGCGACGGTCAAAGGAGGAAGTGCTATGAAAAACGAGGCTTTGCGCGTTTCTCAAGCGTAATAGCAGAGACATTGTCAGCAAAAGTGACTATTTTCACGATCTATTGACGCGTGCTGTATGTTGCTGAAGAAAGTCACGAACTTGCCGTGGCTCTTGCAAAGCTACTCAAGTGCGGTTCCATTATATCTGCACCATCGGTGGCAAGGACAATGGCTCCAATACTAGACAGCAAGCACTGGAGCGTGCTAGTGCGTCCATATAAAACTTGCCGCCGTGTCGTGTGCAACTTCATTCCGCGTACACATCGTGAGTACACACACTAGCAAACGAGTTCTGCACATCTGCGGATTATTCGATCGTAGCAGCTATCACGCAGACACCGTGGGGAGTTATTTAATAATAATTATTTTGTGGTGTGCGAGGGGGGGAAGAAAGAGAAGGAGGAGGGGGGGGGGAAGGGAGGAGTTTGGGGTGTGGTTGGAGATAGGGGGGGGGGGGGGAGCAGGTTGTGGGGGGGGGGGGGGGGAGTTGGATGGGAAAAGGGGAAAAGGGGGGGGGGGGGAAAGGGCGGCAAGAAGAGGGGGAAGGCGGAAAGGGGGGGTGCATCTGTGCAAGTTGCACTCTTGCTACAACGCCGTGGACTAGTGTCGTGCGCTTGTCATAGCACGATCAAGCCGTAGGTGTATCGGGATATTGAGTTGTCTCGTTCGGATACAACAAAGCCAGTTATAATGGTGGAACGGTCCGAGGTGAGCACACGTTTTTGCGGACCAAAAAGTGCGTTACACCTGAGCTGTCTGCATCCTGTTTTATACGACTAGCAGAAAACAACAAGCTAAATAACACCCGACGTCTTAACAAAGGCCCGTAGAAGTTAATTATCGACATTTTCGCACGAGCGTGATCACCTCGTCAAGTGCCTTTTCGACAAGCTCTTCCTCTGCCTCTGACGTACCACCTACTCTCCGCAATCATACCGCTGTCAAGAAAACCCACCCGAACTGGCCTTGTCCAAAAGCAAAAGCTATAACAAATCAGAGGGATTCTGCCGCCAAAAAACGAACCCATCACATATTCGGATCCATCGAGCGCCGATCTTACCCGCCGCGTCTCTCTCTCTCTCTCTGTCTTCCATCGACCCCACTGCTGCGCTGCTGTTATACTGCAGCAGACATGGAGAACTACCACATGTACAACGAGATTGGCCGTGGCGCGCACTCGTTCGTGTACAAAGCACGACGGAAACGCAGCATCGAGTACGTCGCGGTCAAGTCCACCGCCAAGAGCCGCATGGACAAGGTGCGTGAACTGCCCGTTTTCTTTCCACACGACGCGTGCCTCAGGGAACGGCCCTGAGGATACGAACGTTCACATTGTTGACAATCGACACATTGGCTGTTTCGATGCAGATTTTGAACGAAGTCCCGTTTTTGCACAAATTAGACAGTCCCTACGTGCTCAAGTTTGTCGACTGGTACGAGTCGTCGAATCACATTTGGCTCATTCTCGAGTACTGCGTCGGCGGCGACCTGCTCAACCTCATTACGCAGGACAAGCAGCTGCCCGAGTCGGTCGTCAAGGTACAGTGACGCAACGGCTGCTACTGACTACTTGCTGCCAGCACAGAATGTTCTGTGTTCTAGTGGGATGGATGAAGGACCAACGGATGGCTGTGATACTGTCGCGTTTGCAGTCGTTTGGCTATGAGCTTGTCGCTGGACTGCAATACCTGCACGCAAACGGCATTGTGTACTGTGATCTGAAGCCTGGAACGGTTCTGATTGACGAACGTGGGTCACTGAAGGTGCGTTGGTGTGCTTGCAGACAGTGTCGTGACGAAACAACGACCTGATGCGGCTGGTTGTGCTGATGCTGCTACGATTGAACGTCAGCTGGCCGATTTTGGCCTCGCACGACGTATTCCTGGAAGTGATGCAGCGCCCGTACGAGCAGTAAGCGAAAGGATTGTTGCGCATCGACACTTGTGATCAGGTGTTTGATGATTTCTGATGCGAGTAGCTTGCACCAGGGTCGCCGCACTACATGGCGCCAGAGTTGTTTCAGCAGACGGCAGTGCACAGCTTTGCGTCAGACTTCTGGGCTTTGGTACGCTTTGACCTGCGCTGCTGGCGTTGATGAGCTTGTCGGAAATGGACGGAAGTTGACGGTCAATGTAGGGATGCGTGCTCTATGAACTTCGAACAGGCCAACAGCCATTCGTGCATACAAATTTTACCGAGCTTGCACGAATGGTACGAAGTAAGCAGATGTATTGGATATCCGAAGAGGAGGGGTCAGCTTTTGCTGATTGACGGTAACATCATGTGTGGTCGAGGCAGATCCAAACAGAGCCAGTGCAGCTGCCTCATCCTGAATGTGAAATGTCGCTTGACTTTTGCGGTCTCCTGAAGCGTTTACTCGTGAAAGATCCGTATCAGCGCATCACGTGGTACGTTTGCAATTCTTCCGAGTATACTAGAGTACGAGGAACTGCACTGACAAACGACTTTGCCAGGGATGAGCTTGCCGTTCATTCATTTTGGGATGGCATGCCCCGCCTCGAGAGTGTTGTCATGCCTTCACAGACAATATTTGATAGACTTTCCCCGATGCCGCGAAAGTAAGTCTTGCTTGAACAATACTTGCCCGTCTCTTCTTTCCAACGTCATTTGGCGTAGTGATCATTTCATATGCAACAGGGATAATGACTGTGAAAACTCTCGGCTTCGAAATGAAAGTTGCGCGGATCGAGACAAGGTTTGTGATGGAGACAGTCCAAAGGTGTCGACTACTCAAGAGTCACAGCAACAGTCGAATAAAAGCGAGGCAGTAGTGGATGAAGACCAAGTTGGCTCCTCATGTCATGGATCGTCTGATTCATACAAAGCAGTACGAGATCATGTCGCGATAAGCGCAGTCAGTACTGACGTACGACCGATGAACGGTGCGCCAATCGCACAAACACACGATCTGTCAGAGGACAGTGGAGATTTCGACGACGGTACCCATGTTGACGTGCAAGCCACGTCCGGCCATTTGGCTAGTCGCCAGCATCGGCGGCAGACGTGTAAATTGCGTCAAATTGCTGGACCTGCTGCCACTCAGCAAGGTCGGGGACAACAGATACAGCTGAGCGGCCTCTTCGACCGAAGGGGTGTACCGGGAGGCTGGCTTCAGAACATTTCAGAGCTAGTGTTTACCGCTGCAGATTGTCGTGCGAAGGCGGTCATTGGAAACGAAGATACTGAGCTCGACGACTCGCTATACGATGATGCTAAACATCTTCAGCTCGCACTCATTTCACCAGAAGTCTTGTTGTCATGCACGCGAGAAACGCTCGACGATCAGCTGAACGATGTCTACGCCAGCCTCAATTCTTGCCGTGGGAATGCGTCAGTGAAGCTCAGCTACATGACGTACCTAATCTCTTTGAGTAAATACGCCCGGCTGGCCGACGCGATCGTAAACAGCCCAATCCTCGAACTCACGATTCGGATGTTGGCGCAAGAAGTTCAGCTGATCACACCGGACGAGACGATATTGTCGATGCTGTGCCTCGGGCTCGCTGTTCAGTTTCGATCCACGACTGTCGTCGCGCTGTCGTCACGCAATCAGTTACGCCATCTTGTACAACTCTTGCTGACAATTGTTGCCGGTCTCCCGAGTCGGTCCAACGACAAGACAGCTACCAGCAGGAAGGGGTTGCAGTCTCGTTCGCGAGCACTTGCTTGCCTTGGAGAGCTGTTGTTGTATATGTTGACTAAGGAAAAGTGGGAACTACCGATGGAAGGAGTGGATGCTGTGCTTGTTCGTATTGAAGACCTGGATGTCGCGACTCGCTGCTATGCTGTGAGAGCACTTTGCAATATGCTAATTCATACGGCGGAATCTTCGCTCACCAAACTGATGAGTGGCAAGGTAGTGCTAGCTCTCATTCGTGGATTATTGCAATGGAGGACTCTAGGGGTCAATGACCAAGACGATGCGAATGAACGAAGGGTGCTCATCGCGCTTCGTACAACTACGACAGAAGCCCTTGCTCAAGTTCTACGACACCTCCGCACTCCATCGTCCAGCGCGTGTTTGCCGTCTCGCTTGAAACGGTCGATACTGTTGTATTTCGCTCAGCCTGCCGTTCTAAACGCAGTGTGGCAAGGTGTGGACAGCCCACGTGGATCGATTGAGCTAAAACTTGCTTCGCTTAACGTGATCAACGCTTTCTTGGATACGACGCTAGACAGAGATAGGAAAGCCGAATATGCAGCAATCCAGTCGAGTCGTGCCTTGCTGTTAGGGCGTATCGTGGCAATTCCTACGATACAGAACATTGTGGCAACGAGTAGCCAAACTACGGATGACAATGAAGAGGGCGAGTGTCGAGCGACGTTGCGAGCAAAGAGTCTGATCATGCTGCATCTGGGCTTACAGCAGAACCAAGACTTTCTCACGTCATTTGTACAAAATGACGCTTTGACGCTTGTGGAGCAAACCTTGGGCACGATTGCCGAGCTGCTGAACGCTAGTCAAAGCAATCTTGTCTCACAGTCTCTAGAAAACAAGCTATCGGTGTCCGAGCTGTATCTCATGCAATGTGTTTTTAACTTGTGCAAGCTCCTGCTTGAAATTGCTCTGGAACTTGGCGCTGATTGCGTCCGGCTGACTCGGGCTCGCGGCCGTGGAAGCGAAAGCAGTAGCGCCGAGAATGGAGCAAAGATATTGCCAATATCGTTCCAGCTATTGAGGAGACTACTAACGCAGCCCAATTGTCGGCAACAGTTTCTCAACTACTTGACCACGAGTGACAGCACGCAGTACACTTTATTTCTACGTCGGATGGCAAAGCTATTGATGTCATTCCCTGACGAAGTTACAAGCGTCTCGGAAGAGCCCGGTACGACAACGACCATCGCCTGTTCTGTGTCGGGGACGTTACTGCTTTTGTTTCAATCGGCAACCAGCGAAGCCGATGACATTGTGTTGGTCGATGAGCACGAACTGCTCACCCATTTGCTACCCGTTGTCGTAAAAAGGGCGTACGGTGACATGGAAAGCAACAATGAGCAAGTCGCGGCCAATTGTCTCAGACTTCTTCACGTGCTGTTGCTGGATTTTGACTATGGTGATGAACAAGACGAGTATAAACTCTACGATTCCTTTATACGGTCAGTCCTTCTCCCCAATCTCAGTGATACACTAACGAGACGCGATGCCATGGTCGAGCGGGTTTGGAGCCTGTCAAGCGAACTGCTATTTGGTTTGCTATCCAGCGACTCGTCGCTCGTAAGTGAAGCAAAGGACCTCAATCTTGTGTCGACGGTTGTCAACTTGCTCTGCGTTCCAGCTACGTTCACGTCGTTGCCTACCAATGCGACACAGCTAGTCCAGATACTAGTGGACTCGGCTGACGTCGATCTGGACTGGCTGTTCGAGTCGGGTATCGCTCGGAGTATGGTAATCGGGTTGACCCTAACTGCCAAACGAAAGCAGGTTGACGAGAGCGTAGTAGACTTGGTTGCGATTCTCCTGACTTTGCTTCAACACCAATACGAAAAGGCTCGACAACCAGGATTGACACCAACTCTACCAGGGTTCACCGACCTGGTCGCTTGTGGACCGTTGCTGTTACAGTTTTGTGCTTGTGGCGATGAGATGCGATCGAACAGACAGCCGGAGGTTGCGGTAGTAGGGAACAAAGCCGACGCACACGATATGACTTGTGAAGTTGCAGGTGCAGCCTCTCGCTGTCTCGTCCTCCTATCTCGGGTAACTGGAGTGGCATTGGTGTTCTGAAGTTCATTTGTTCCAGGCGTTCTCATTGTACTGCGGTCTGTATGCAACAGACTTTCGGTGAGCAGCTGAATGGGGCGATGTTCGCGCACGACAAAACTTTCGCTTCCTTGTCAGATGAGGGTGAGTGACAGGTGCAATCTCAAGTTGTATTCTGGCTGTGTGTGTGTGTGAAGCCATCGTTAGGAACGACTAACGCGCTACATTGTTTCTTGTCTGTGTACAAGCGCATAGGAGAGCCGTTCACGTCTGCAAATGAACACGATTGACGTCGCGTACGATGGCGACGGTACTTCGTTGGTGCTGGGTGTGCAAGACCTTCACTCAATTTCGTCTGTGTTGCCAGAGCAACGTCCGACTTGTTCGTTTGATTCGACACACAGAGTGACGGAAAAACACTGGTCTACCGACCAGTCAACTGTCAACCAGCTACGACTGTAATCGTGGTTTCTGAATGCTGCCGAAGCTTTGCCGTCGCAGCGACGACTGTCTCAAATAAACAGTTGTCGCTTGACGGCAGTATCGACCGACCAAACGTTGGCTGAAAGTCGGTCAACAACACAGCAAACAGACATCAAAGCCCGCAGTAGTCATTCTGCGCCGTTTTCGTCCCGCTAACCGTGAATCAGTCTGTAACCAGCACTCTCGTCTACCTCAACGATCGCCGAGCTCCGGCGGAAAGTCTACGCGTGCTGCTGCTTTGCTTCTGCCCATTGAGCGTTGGGGTAAATTCGAAGGTCCAAGTGCTCCGCAACCTCGTTCAAATTCGAAGAATCGCCCTCAAAAAGTCCTTTGAACACCACATTCACAATGTGCTCCGAGCGCTCGAAGAGCAACTTGATCTCGCGAGGCGTGTCTGGCACAATACGCTCAACCAAGATTGCCAAAACCAGACACACTTGGCACGCCACGACGAAACTAAAGGCTCTGACCGTTCCACTCTGGTCTTCGAACAAGTTGGACGTCCATAAAATCAGCGCTGAGTTCGTGCCAAGCGCAATGTACGTCATGAACCGCAGAATATAAAACCACACCCCAATGTCCTTCGCTGGGTGAGGAAACGGCCGGCGATGCACAAAGCACAGTTTCACGGCATCAACGTGTACTTCCAGCAAATTGTTGGCCAGCGCCAGCACCGGTGTCAGCGGAAAGGCTACCACAAACAAGTTGATGAACCCATATTGAATGACCATCTCGTTGTAGTCTTCGAATGCCTCGTTGCTCTCGTACGGCACCAGCTTTGCCTGGTCTTCGATGATGTTGTGGCTGACTTTCTCCACACTATTGCCCGCATTGCGCTCAGAGAAAAGCTGGTAGCGGTACTTCAAGTACGGGATCGCCACTTCCGTCGTATTGCCCACCACGATTCGGATCAAGAACAAGGTCAGCAACTGGTCGCGCAGCTCTTGCATGCAGTCGTCTTTGTACAGGCAGGAACCCTCCGCAATGCGCTTTACAAAAGCGATGTAGAAGAACGAAGCGAAGGAGTTGCAGAACTGGAACAAAAAGACCTTGATGATCAAGTAGCTTTCATACTCGGCGTCCGTGCGGTGGTTTTCAAGGTCATTTAGCTTGCGAGCGACAGTTCGGTATACCATATTCAGCACCAAAATTTGGATAGCGTTTGCCGCTGTCACGCCAAACGTCAGTGTTGTCCGGTACTCCGCGCTCACGTTCGGCTTTTCCGAACGATCCGTGCTGTTGATCCAGTGCTTCAGTACAAACAAACCAAAGAGCGCGACAACCACAATTCCGACCATCAGCGTGACTACCAACACGGACACGACGAATGCACGGCGGCGTTTGGTTTTGCTTTCGAACGTCACTTCCTCCGCATCGGTCACCGGGTGGTAACTCTTTGTGCCGCGGAACTGAGGCCGGTAGCGGAACGACTCTTGTAAACCACTTAGACCCCAGAGTGAATCCAGTAGACCATTCTTGCGTTTCCACAGTTCCGAAAACAATGACGACCAAACCACCACAAACACGGCGAAAGCGATAAGGATGTAGCCCTGTTCGTTGGTGCCCGTTACAGCCTGGCGGGCCTCGACATACACAAACGTGATGATGCCAGCGATAGCCGGAAAAATCAGCATCTTCGTGTAAAACTCCAGCCACGCAAAATATAGCGCAATCTTCTCTCCAAAGTAGTAGCGGATCTTGTGCAGCGGCTGGTACAGCATGGTCCAATGCAACGCCCATGAGTGTCGTAAGTCATGCAACGCGTCTGCGTCATGGAGTGCAAACATCGGGCCCTGCAAGTATCCAGCTGCCTCGAGAGCGTCTGCATTAATGTGGCGTTCTATGGTACCTTCGGCGAGTCGAAGCCGATCCTTTTGCGTAAACAAAGTCTGCTCCTTCTTCTCTCCCCACCGGACCGGATAACGGCGATAGTACGGCTGGTACTTTACGTCATAGCGATAGTCCGCAAACGGAGCAAAGTACGTCAACGGATCGTACGGCAGCGCAAAGATCGACGTCCAGAAACGACCCCAGCAATTTCCCTGAACGCGACGGTACGTGTCGTCGTCAACAAACAGCCCGTCCGCTTCTTCCGTGTGCCCCCACACATCCAGTGCTTTCCGTAGCTCTGGGTGGAACTCTTCTCCACGGGAAACGAGCAACGGATCCATCTCGGGGTACTCGGCACCGGCATCAGCAAAGCCCCGTGTGTGGCGCAAGTGGTCAATGGACTCGTGCCAGTCCTTGTCGCCCATCTCGCGTCGCATGGCCTCGAGCTTTCCATCGTGCAGCACCTCGGAGAACGGCTTGTTGCTCACTTGCAGGCGGTAGTTGGTCCGATCGGCTTCGACGCGCAGGTCATTGTCGTCCGTCTTGATCGTCATAATGATCTCATCAGCGTCACAGCTCAAAAACAGGCGCGTCGTGAGTCCACACGCGAGCTGCACCCGTCGAGCGATCGCCGTCGCCACGAGCTCACAGAACTTGGTCTCGGACGTCGCGTCTTTCGAGCCAATCGACTGCTCGTACTCGTGCTCGAGCAGCTGCTGCTGCGTCTCGAGGCGCTGCTGGTCGCTCGCGTCACTGTGGTCGTGGCTCGTGTCGTGACCCACGTGGCGGCCGCCGTCGTCCAAGAAGCAGCGCGACGTGCGCAGGACGCGCTGGAACGGGTCCACGACGATCGTCTGGGACCGCTCGCTGCGCGCCGCGTCTTTGCCCATCAAGAGCCGCACGAAGCGGTGCACGGTAAAGTCCTCGGGCTTCTTGAGCTCGCCGCCCGTGCGACGCGGGAAGACCATGACCAGGTCGGAGTCGTACAGCGTCTGGCTGCGCTCGGGTGCGACGGGGATCGCAGCGTGCGACGTGGGCGACGCGAGCGCGTCGTACGCATTGGGGTCGGCCGACGACATGAGACGGCGCGTCGGCGACGAGAGAGAGACAGAGAGAGTAAGTGAGTGAGAGAGAGTGAGTGAGAGCGAGTAAAAGAGAAAGTGAGATGAAGAGTGATGGTCTTTAGTGGGCGTCTGTTGCGGCAACGGCGTGAAGGACGAGAGCGTGGGACAGGGCGGTGCCGCCGCGACGAGCGATATAGCTCTGCGACATGCTGCGCAGAAAAGATGCAGCAACCGTCGCATGCGGGTGCAAAGAAAAACGAAGCGGCATGGAAACCAGCTGTAGAGACGGGGCAGCGCGTAGGAAGAGATGGAAACAAAAGTGCGTACGACTACTGTCCTGTTCTTTCGCTTGCTCTGTTCCGTGTGGGCAACAATGTCAGCCCTCCTTGCGGACGGTAGCCTTGTCTTGGGTTATTGTGGTAGTAGGCGTAAGGCCAATCGATTGCGTCGATTCGAAAGCAGACCGTAGCCAACTAAAAGAACGTCGTCATCACCATCACAAGCCAAAAGCTTCGAGTATACGCGACTGGACAGCTACTCGAGGCTGCTGCTGCTGATCTTATGTCTGCGCAGAAGGGCTTTTCTTACCTGCAAGTTTCTGAGCAGGTCTATAACGTAAGGAAAGGGACGAGGCACATCTCTTGCGCTATTTCATGTGGTCGAGATCTTAGTGGAAACTGAATGCAGGCAGTGAATAGACAGTGCCTCCTGGTGACAAGCTCCGTTGCAGTGCACAGATAGACTGAAGCTTACCGACGTCATAGTCCATTTTTTCCTTAGAAGTGACGGCCAAGATCTAGCTGATCGATGCCGCGGCATCAGCTCGGCATTTAGGTGGCGCTACTACCGCTATCATCTTGCACAATGTGATACATTGCGACGACCGTCGAACGTCGGCAGAATTAGGAAGCTGACCAAGCCTCTGCGATGCGCTAGTCGGTGGCTGCCTGGACCGAGTTCTGGGCCAATATTTTTGTCGATTTCTACACTCACACTGGACTGTAAGCGAAGCCTCGTGTCTGTCTAACTGCTACGGAGATGGTGAGACACAAAGATGGATTGAAGGCGAATAAGGCGGCGGAGGTTGGGCAGGAGCCTGGAGCTCGAATGGCTGTACATCCAGCTCCCCGTGTCCATTTTGAAGCTTCTTGGCTACATCCAATAGACTGATAGTGCCCGACCAGAGTTGACTGAAGGGGACACTTGGAGCAGTTCGAAAGGCAGAGAATAGCAAGAAAACGATGGACTGAGGGGCACTTGTCACGTAAAGCTTACCAGGACTGCAAGGATCAACGCTCTACGTGAGGCATCATTTTGATCGACGAAAGTCAAGTGTATCACCTGGCTGCTTACGGCGTTTCCCGCAACATTCGATTTGATATTCGCATCAAACACAGCACCCGATTTACTTTTAACGTGTGCTTTCAGTAGGATCTTTTCAGACAAAGTTGATAATTCCTCCTTTTTTGTGATGTAACAAGTTGAAAATTTGGAGAAAGTCACTCTGTGAACTTGGATTGCTCCGTTTAGCCGATCCCTCAGCAGCGATAAAGCAAATTCGGTGGACGCCAACTTTTTGAAAACTTGCTGGAGGTTACAATCTAATAGAGTACTGAGCCTGTCGAAGCGAGCACAACAGACGATTTGCAACGATTCTTCCTTCTTTGCCGCCATTTGCGTCGCTTGATGCTGACACATAACAATCGATTCGACTGTCACCTCGCCGACGTAGCCAGGTTCATCGTTCACACTGCACCAACGAAAACAAAATCATCAACGCAACGTACGACGCAAGAAAAATGCAAGAAGCAAACGCACAGTGACTTGATTTTATCACCTGCCAGTGACTTGCGCTGCTGCCGTGTTTGTGAGGTCGGACACAGCAGCAGCAGCAGCTACAATCCCTTGTATGCTATTCCGTGTGATTATGCTATATCACGTCTTGCAGTGTATCTCTTTCTGCAGTGCATGGCAGGTGACTTGTCTTCAGTATCGCGTCGTCTCTACCGCCGATCAACGTACCCATCCGTTGCGGCGGCTGTGCATCACCCCAATGGCGACGTCCAGGGACTCTACGGACCCCTTTGCACGTACCGCAGACTGCCCGAGCACTTCCTCATCGCCACACGGCAGTCGTAGTATTAGTAGCCGCGTGGCCTGCGCGACTGCAGCCGATTGCGAGTCATTGGCGCCAGCAGAGCACTTCTTCGATCCTTTTGGTGACGTGTACGGCATTGAAACCGATACGAGGGAAATAGCGCGTGGCCTGAACGGCTACAAAGGCACTGCAGCGCTCAGTAACGCTGCGAGAACACCTGTGGCGATGTCGTTCCCTTCCGTAATGGCTCCAGCCGCGACTCTGGCGCCCCCTCCGACGCTCTTGCCGTCAATTAGCGGCGAAGCTGATCCGTTTGCTGACATCATTGCAAGCGGAAAAGCCCGCGCAAGCAGTGAAGAAATTGGTGGAAAGATGGAGCACATTGCAGGAGCTCTGGGGGGCGATCTGGGGAGCAAGTTCGAGGTCACGGGGCCAGTGCCGGCTCCGACGTCGATGCCGTCGCGCTTCGATTTGTTGTGGGGAAATGCAAGCGACGGAGTGGACGAGTTCGTTCTGTCAAGCCCGACAGCGTCACGAGACAGTGGTAGAAGCAGAGCAACGTCAGCGGGCAGTACGTTTATGCTCCCGCCTCCACCGGCGACCATGACGAAAGCAGCGACGTTCTCAATGCCAGGGACGAAAGCCACTCGCGATACGAGTGCAGCGGATCTATTGTCATTCTCTCCTGTGCTGACGTCGGTGCCAATTGATCCGTTCTTTGGACTCGATGACGGTATAGATGAGACGAGCACGGCGGCATTTGCAACCGGCGACATGTTCTCGACGACAGCAACGTCGCCGCTGTCGACAACATTTTCGCTGGCGCCAACGTCTCAGTTTGCGTCATTTGAGTCGTTGCATGATGATGGGGATACTCTGGGACTCCCTGATGCCACGCGTGGTGATACGGACGATAAGACATCGCCGCGCGATCCGATCGTCGAACACACGACGCAGTCCTTTGGCTCGCTGAGCTCAACATCGGTACTTGCGGACGCAGACAATGACTCATGTAGTGAAAATGAAGCACACTTGCTGGTCAATAGGACCGCGTGTGCTACACTGGAAGTAGCACCGCCATCACGTGCCCCTCCTTCTTCGCAGTGGTTTGGTACAACGACGGACGAGATTGCGAACGTTGTGCCTGGCACCAACAGCTTGGACACGGCAGATCCTTTTGCAGGGGCAGGTCTGGCTACTCCAGACAAGGCACCTTCGGATGTTCATTTTGCTGCATGGAGTGCTGCCGTAGAAGTCGCTGCGGAAGAAGGCGAAGATGAGGATGATGACAGCAAGCGAATAAGTGAAGAAGACAATGGAGACATGCGGGAGCCGACTGTAGATACGTCAGATGACTATATCGGGCCTGCATCTGCTGCCGACGGTAGCGGTAAGGTTGGCTTGACGAGAAGTACGAAGACGGAAGACTCGCTAGACGCTTGCGCGATTACAACATGGTGCGAGGACGAGGAAGGTCTCGATGATTCGTTGACGAACAGGCAAGTGACTGCCGGTATTCCCGTTGTTCGCTCTCCTGTCGTTGCGGTAGCGCTCTACGTCGAAGAAGATAAGCAGGTAGCTGGCGTGGCGAGTGACGGCAGTGAACACGAGACGAGTGATTTGCGAGACGACATATCTAGTGACGTTGGTGAGGACATTGAGACTGATGTCGCGTCCAGGGAAAATGGAGGTTTTGCCTACCGCGTGGAGCAGAGGTCGTCGGACGTGAACGAGAGTCCGCTGGAGAGTAGGCAGATTGGAGTGTTTTTGTCGACAGGTACGACTGCGGATCTAAACACTGGAAGTGCTAGTCAAGCAGCAACTGACTTTGATGATGAAGCAAAAGAAGGGAACGTTGTACCACATCGTGACACGTGTGACGCGTCACCTGCTGCCTCAGTGGATGTTTCAATCACATCAGAGGCTCCCGTGAACAACGCGGTAGCAGGCACAGATAAGCGAGATGGACAAGCACAAGCCACGGTGGCGGGTAGCGACGACGGCTTTGACGACTTCGATGACTTCGGTGTAGCAGTGTCACCTATGAATACGGCACCAAGCATTCTAGATGCGTCGTTGTCGGGACCGCTCACGCCGCCGGTTGTAACTCATGAGCCGCCAGCTGACGACGAGTTCGGGGATTTTGCTGTGTCTACATCTACGTCCATAGCTGCAGACATTGGTTCTGTAGACGACGGTTTTGGACATTTTGCACAAAGCGTGGAGCTAAGTGGCGACGACGACTGTTTTGGTGACTTTGGAGACTTTGAGCAGGTCCCAGCAAGTCACGACGATGTGTTCACAGATTTCCAGCAGTCGAGTGCAAGAGCGTTTGAGGACATTGATGGTGATTTTGGCGATTATCGCTCGGCCGGTGATCTGGTAACGGAGCGCCCAGCTGTGGGAAATTTTCCTCGTTCGAAGGCAGATATGTCGACGTTTTTCAAGGAAGCATTTCCAGTCGAGCCTTTACGAGCGGTTTTGGTCGACGAGCCAGAAAGTCCAGCTGACGTCAAGGCTACCGAGCTCGCGCAAAAGTCGTCAACGTTGTCGACAGGTTTTATTCGAGAAGTGTATCGCAGCATGTGGGACGAGCTTTTTTCTACCTTGGCTGCGACGGGTCACAAGCTACCGTCTCCATCCGGATCGCTTTTGGCTTCTGTGGACTCGAATGTCGATGGGGAGTGCGTGGAGAAGAAGACGGAGCACGCTTCGAAATATTTGAAGTATGTGCTGTCTGAGAAGATCCAAGAGGCGTCCCGACAGAGCGGCATCTTCACGCCAGGCTCGGAAAGTCATCAGATGCATGTGGAGATTGCAGCGTCAGGTGATGTGGAGCGCATGTGTGTCGCTTTGAGGGAGTTGCAGGATGCGCTGTTTCATAGTTCAGTGAACGACGCGATGATGCGAATCGCGAAGCAGGCAGCGATATCGGCAAAAGCCAAGATTGCTGAGCAGGCTGCTCAGCAGCATGCGACTTCACGTGGTGGATCCTTGTTTTTTACGACGCGTCACTTGTTGTCACGGGGTAGCGGTAGCGGAGGAACGCATGGCCCTGGCAGCAGCAGTAGTGACAGTAAGGCAGATCATGCTGTGTCCGACACTCCAACGGGCGCTTCCGTTCAGAAGCTGGCTCGCTTCTCGCACGCTACTGGACACAATGACCTATCGATTGGCCACCGTGCCACGAACCGCGAGGATCGAGTGTCAGATGGAAGTGATCACACGGGACACAGCAGTGGTAGCGACACGGAAGCTGCATCTGGCGTCGAAAATCGGACTCGAAGTCCGACACTTTCGAATAGTGGCAGCAGCAGTGGTGGTGGCCTGATGAGGAAGTTTCAAGACCGCTTTTCGTTTACTAGCTCCAGGTATCGTCCGAGATTTGTAAGCCTTCGACGAAAAGGACAGTCCGGCGAGGAAGTTCGTAAGATGGAGCTCAACTTGGACGCCATCAGTGGAGGCCTCGACGAAGTGAAGTGGAAGTGCGCTCTGTTCTTATATGACGTCGACGAGGTCACTCACGTGGCGCCCTCGCAGATCTGCATTGTGGCGTACCCGAGCAAACAGCCGCTGTCAGGCAAGACCGATCGTAGTGCGCTGACAAAGCTGGTAAAGCCTGGTACGATTTGGACCATCGATATTGGCGCAAACAACAGCGATATGCTCAACGAATGGTGAGGGGCAAAGTGACGAAAGGAGTCTGTGTTTAGATGTTGTAAAGGAGCTGGTGGTATGAGAAAAAGCTAGTCCCCTCGAAGGATACGCGCGCCACCTGCACAAAATAGGTCACTGCCGACGATAATGATGTTTACAATACGAGTGGGAGGCGAGATGCACCAGTAGCGCTGTTTTATGAGAAACTAAACTCGTAGCGGAAAAACACACTTGCCGCAGCGAGAGTTTATTTCATGGTGCCGTGTGAAGCCAAATGCTCGCCATCGATCGAGGCGTGGTTGCATCAGTGTCGCACGACATGTCGGTGGGGTCCTGGAATTCGAGACGGCCCTGTCCAAGACTCTTCGGAACTCGCAGCAATAGACAGTGAGTTCGTTTGTGGTCTTGGCTTTCGCCTCGATGCAGACACTCCAGTGGCTTTATGTCTGGAGGACTGACAGCTGATCGAATGGAACTGCTTTGGCAGACCGCTGTGATGACACTGCCTACACTTCGTATGAACGAACCGGTCGCAATGACCAGCTCGTCCAGCTGGACGTCAGCTTGGCACTTACAGCACAATGGAGAGAAGCAGCGGAGTGGCGCAGACTGCTAATGTCCACCGTGTGTCTGCACGTGCGGTTCGACTGGATACCTTGACTTATTGTGTCAGTTGCTTGCGCGTTGCTGCAGCACGACGATGGGGGAGGAAAGAAGGAGAGCGGCAAGTGGCCTGAGTGAAAGGCACAACAACAAAAAGGGCTGGTTGAAGATTGAACAGAGCACAAGAAAAAGCGAGAAAGAAAGAGAGACACACACGGCTACTCACGTCCAGTTTTGCCGTGCGGAATCGCTGTGACGCGAACGGGCTTGCGCTCATCTTGCTCTCGCTTTGGCTTTGTCTCGCAAATACGCCTTGCGTACCGCTTGTTTTGCGACCAAAGCACGACATGCACCCGACAACGTCGTCACCGCTGCGCGTGAGATTGCTCGGCTACTTGCACTGGTATTTCGACACTGCACATGTTCGTACCTCCCTCTCCTCTTTCGTTCGTAAGCTTTGAACCGGTTCTGAAACGAGATGAGCGGTAGTATGGTCGCAGGAATACACACTTGGCCAAACTCGATTCCGCACAGGTGATGCAACAGCGTACTTTCGTGCTTCCCGATGTACGTAGTCCTGCGACCCAAGAGAACGTCAGGGAACGCGGAGGGTGATCTAGGATGTGCCAGCTCTTCGTGCTGCGCAAGGCTATGTATGTCGCTGAAACAGACGCGTGCTTACGCTATGACAGTGAAATAGGCTCCGTTGCTTGGCGAAAGCAACCGTGATCGCTTTGTCACAATGGCGAGTGGCGTGCAGCGAAAAGCGTAAGCAAGTCGTCCATTTCGCATGGTACCTCGTGACGATGGCATGTCTGCTGCAGAGCACCATACTGATTGTTTACTGAAAGCTGCGTGGTTCAAGCTGGAGTAAGCATTGATTTGTAGACCAATCTCGACGACGGAGCCACGCACTTATGGCTAGTCCGTATCGTATACAAGGTGGCAGTTGCTGCACACGATGCATTCTGGAAGCAGGCAAGCCAAGTCGGCTGTAATTGCAGGTGACGAACAGTGCGAGGCGGACTTTGGTGGGACATCTGTGAAGCCGTGGCCGTGATGACCCGCAGAAAAGAAGAATGACCGGCTGTACCTGCATGGCAGCGCGCGCTTGTTTGCTTTTCGATGCTTCACTGCTGTTGATCTGAAAAGACCGTTTCTGAAGTCGAATGAGCGTGTATCCGAGGCGTCGACTGGCACAGCAGAGATACCTACGACGCGTACTATGATACGGTGAGTGCAGTTGGCGAAGTGCTGATCACCAAAGTATGCACGTATCGAGACGATGCTCATTGACTGTCCGCCACTCGAAGATCGATACGATGCTATCAGGATATGAATGGTGTTGATCAGCCTACTTCCAACTCACTAGCGCTTCTTCCAGCTTATGTGAAGTACGAGACACGTGTCTGTCCTATCGAACAAAGGCACTACTGGGTACGAAGTTGATGAAAAATCGATCGTGTTGTATTTTTCTGAGTTTGATACAAGCACTGAGGTCTGCGCGCTTAGTCATGCTAACGATGGCTCGAAACTAACGCCGAAATTACCAGCCTACGCCCTTGCTTTTAAAATCACCAGCCCATGCGCTTGCTCCCATCGTCCAGCACACCAGTCAGCTTCGCCATCACCCATGCCAACCATAAGATCGTTTGGGATCATTACTGTATCTAGTTGGGCAAAGCTCAGACCGTTCTCGCTTCCCTTACATGACAACTGACGCACAACACTCCTCCACTGCGAGCTGTATCCTGTAGTACACGTCTTGAGAATATCATCGTGGCTGTATCTACCGACCAGACTTCACTTCTTGAATTTCTTCGGGTAATTGGAACGCAACCATTTTTCCATCTTGTAAGCGCGAGGTCCGTCAATTAGGCCACACCACTGAAGGTCATATAAAAACGTATGCATGTCGCTTCCCTTCATGTGTCCCATTAGCACCTCAGCTATGGCATTATCGTCGTACTGACCGTTGAGCTTTTCAACATAGCCAAACCACATTTTCATCTTCGGAATATTAAACATCCGATTAAGGCTGTCATGTGTAACCGGTTTACTCGCTGTAAGCGACATTCTGCGGTAAACTTCCTTTGGGTCCACGTCATGCTTCAGCCACACTTCAAGCAGCAGCGGCAGAGAATCTGGAAATTCCACGGCTAGCGCTTCTTGCAATCTTTCAGCGTGATCTTTCATACCATCGACGCTTTCAAGCCAACTGAGAAAAGCCACCGCCTGCTTTTCGCTTCTTTTATCGACCAGCAGGCGGACTATCTCGTTGTTGCTGAACACTTTGTTTCCAATGCTGATCATATACGAAATCCACAGCTTAAGACCGGAGCAGAGAGCAAGCCACTCTTTTCCTTCTGTGATGTCCAATGCGTAGTCGAGGGGCAAATACTTGTAGACTTGCACAGGGTGCACTCTTGCGTCGAACCACGATTGAAGCACCGATTCAATGGCCTCTGGGTATTGCTCAACTAGCATTACTCGGAAGTCGTGAACGAGACTTTCGATACCGTCAAACTCATGTTTCGTTGAATACGAGAACACCGCCAGCTCATCGGCCCCTCTCTTCTCCACCAACAGTTCGAACAGATTCTGGTAGCTGAATTCGGACATCTTCGTATCCATTGCGTTAAACTTGCGAGCATACGAAATCAACTGCGTGAGCCCACGACAGATTGCAGGCCACGTTGGTTCTTTTTCGATGCCATGTGTAAGTTTCTTCTCTGCTGCGATGGGCATCATATCGTAGGCTTCGTCAGGTCTCACGTTAGCCTTCAGCCACAAACTCTGGATACGATCCTCGAGTTCTGGGTATTTCCCAGCTACCGCTCTTTGCAAGCTGTCCGCACGATTCTTCATGCCACGGAAGTTTCGGAGCGTCAAGAGGAGCGCAACAAGCTTTTCTTTGTTGCCTGTGATACTATCCAGCATCCTGAACACAACATCGTCACCAGAAACTCTTTTCTTTGCGGTGAACAGGTCAGCATAGGCGAGACACCGCGCAACGATCTGCACGTCGAGCGGCTCATCGTTCTTCGGTCGCACACTCAATTGCTTCAAGACGGCTTCGGGGTGTAGGTCGTACCAAAGCCATGTTCTCATTTGCAGACTGTAAAAAACATCGCCTACGAATCGCGCTATACCCAGCCCCCCTTCCCTCTCCTCGTCGTCGTGGTAGCTAGCGTCGCGTGTGCTCCTTGCGAAGGGATGCGGCGCCAAGAGCGGCAGAGCGACGGATGCGTTCGTCTTCACACGGAGGGGGACAGTGACCGAGTTGACAGCAGCATTGATGTTCGGATTACCGCTGGAGGTTGCAGAGTCAGCGGTTCTCGAGAGAAAGATGGCGGAGGCGGGTAGCAAAAGGCAAAGCAGACGCATTAGACCGTCCGATGGACACCGGACGAGTTGCGGAATAAACAGCGCAATCGCTCCCGGCGACACCGTTGGGACCACCCAAATATTGGCCATGTCCGAACTTTAACAGGCAACACAGCTGCCGACCAGTTTCCATCCCGTGGGGACTTTGGCTTCGTACCGATTGTGTGTCCGGACAATACCGCAGCATTGAATTGACAACGCCGGGCCCGTTCGAACGAAATCCCAGTAGTGCTGCATTACATTTCGCTTGTGGTAAGTGTGCCCTGAGTTACAGTGTGGATGTAAAGGGATGATGAGCCCTTTACATGTAGGTGAGACCAAATTGGGTCAATGAGAATGTTCTCGTAATCGATAACGTTCTCCGATACTTACTTTGCCAAGAAAATGCCGAAGGAATATCACCGTCAAAGGTAATATGCGGCACTGCCCCACTTATTGATTGGTTTAGGCCATTTGGTCAACCAACTACACCACCAATCGCTTCTATGCGTGCGCAATGGGTGGTAGTGAGCAGGTAGCTATGGTAGGAACTTGCTGTTTACTATGGTTTTAGGTCCGACTAAACAGCCATATTCTTAGACACTTTGTCAATCGACTAAATACCGTTCCACTTTCTCCTCTGCTTGGCGTGAATTACTAATGAGCATTAGTAATTCACCTTCCTCCGCGCGTACAGTGTACTTGAGGTTTCGAGGCACCCGTCTGCACTGTGGTCAGTATAGGTAGTTGTCTGTAGTCAGTGTAGGTAGCTTGCACAATGCCAGTACAAGCATCGGTGCTCCATTACAATTATTGAGTGCTGATGATGCTGATAGTACGATTTCTAGAGCAGTGTAATTTAGTAAGCTCATTTGCGTGGACTGATGAAGATAGAAACGTGTTACGGATCAGTCATACAATTACGATTGAAGCGGTTGGATAACGCATATCGTTTTCTTCGTCCTCGATCGTCTTCCTCCCTTTGTAAGGACGGAGTGTAAATGAAATCATAAAGTTTTGACTACAGAGCAATCTCTGCGTCTCCGGCGCGCGCGAATTGTATCTTGAATCTCGCGAAGTGGGCGACAATGACAATACAGAGTTAGCATGTTGCAAGGTGAGCCTAGCACATTTAATAATGTATGTGTCAAACTGTGCGCGAACACGATCAGCGAACGGATATCAACGCTTCAGCAACTTCGATGCACGGATTAGCACTTAAGCGAACAGGTACAAGTTTGCGTGGGCAAAGATAGAGCGGATAAGTTTTCCCCGCTATACTTTGACAAGGCACAGATGCTTGTGCTGACACAACACAATCTACCTACACTGACCACTCTGCGGGCAGGTGCCTCGAAATCTCACATACACGGTACGCGCAAAGGAAGGTCAGTCTGTTTAAAGTCAATACACAAAGGGAAGGACAGAGAACATGCGATTAGATGAAAAAGAGGGAATTAAAGTTGGTCTTGTTATCTTCTTCTGGCTTCTAGCAAACTTCATCTACAGAAGAAATCATCATATGCAAACTATCACAGTTGCGCGACGCAAACATAATGCTATAAACGATGCTTGTACCATGTCATTAACAGATTACCTTGATGCGAGGTCTTTTCACTCCTCCTCGTCGGCACTGTCCCTAAAAAAACGCGGCTCCTTGCTTTGTCACAGTATGCATGGATCGATTTATTTTATACCGGTCACTTAGCGCATTGTAGTCAACTTTGTTCCAACGAATTCCTTTGTTAGTATGTCCGCAGGGATACTCGCAGTCTCGATACTCGGTCTTTGTTATTTCACGCTTCGCTAAATCAAAGACACACGGATTCACAAATCAATATGCTTGACCTTAGCAGATACCTTTTTCAACGACGATTTTCAATAAACTGCTTTGGGTATCCACTTGTAGTAATATTGGTACCTCAAAACACAAATTCATCTCACGTAAGAATTTCGCGAATACCTAATACTTATCGAAAAATTATTATTGCAGCAGTAAATTCGGCATTCATAGTCGAAAGCGACACGTAACCTTGTTTCTTGCATACCCTGCTCACAGGTACGTTGTAATGGGGCAGCCCGTTACATGGAAATTGTCATTAAAGAAACAATGACAATAAAGAATATTAATTGAATATTCTTTGAACAATATCACCAAAGTGGTGATATTGAAGGGTCGACCAAAGAGTCTGCTCATTGGTTGATATCTTGATGATATCAACCCAACAATCGCCGCAAGACGCGCGCAATGAGTGGTGACGAGACATCACCATACACTCAGTTATATTAGCATAATTAAGTTAAGTCAAACAGAGAGACAGTAGTTAACAGACTTAATTATATTAATACAACAGTTCTGCTTTTACCTTACCTACGCTTCCTCGCTTGCCTTGTGTACGTCTGTCGGGGCACCGATACCCTTGCGTTCAGTTCACGCAAGGGTGTACCCCGTTACACCTGGTAGCACTTTGTAGTCCTTCCAAGGACCACAACATCCAACATGAACATGTTGGATGATGAAGAGACCTTTCACGCCACGCATGAAGGGTTTAATCATTTGAGTGACATCGAATGGGGTGCAATAGAACGAATGAGTTCCACCGTAGGCGAGTTCGCCATTAGCGCCATGTTGAAGTCTCTAAACAGAGACCTACAACATGCCGCTATAGCCAAGTTCATACAACATATACTTGTCGCCGAAAGGGATAAAGTAGCCTTGCTTCACCAGCAAGGCTCTCAACAGGCCGAGCAGTTGAGAGAACTCGGTGCTCAACAGTCAGAGCTGTTGAGACAGCAGCAATTCCATGCTGCTGTGGGCGGGACGGCGCATGCGCGTCGTCCCGAGGTCATGAAAGTTGACATCTCCAAGTACAGTGGAGTCCCGGAAGGCTCCCAGTTACTATGGTTTGTCGAACTCGACAGAGCCTTGAGGGATCATCGTGTCAAAGATGAGCAAATGAAACTCACATTTGCTCAGAACCACTTGGCAGGGCGTGCCAAAACTTGGTCCCTGGGGCTCGAGAGTAGCGACCCACATGTGTTTAGGTCGCTAAATGACTTCAAGTTCCGGCTCAGACAAACGTTTGAGCCGCCACGGGCTGAGTTCAGGGCTCGTTCAGAGCTCCTGAAACTCAAGCAGGGTAAGCGTGATGTGCACGCTTACGCACAACATATACGACTCCTCGCTAGTAGTATAACTGCTAACCCAGTACATGAACACACGTTGATTACAATGTTCGTGAAAGGGCTCGCAGAAGGGCCCGTCAGGAGCCACCTGTTCCGCCTTGAGCTGAATACGCTTAAAGAAGCGATATCAGCCGCGGAACAGGAAGACTTTAGCATGATACAGGCTCATGCTAGCTCAAACTCTTACCGTCCACCAAGACGACACGAGATCGGAGGTCCAGGACCAATGGACCTCTGCTATGTTGAGAGCGAGAGACTTCGCTCTTCAAACAACAAGCGATTGCAGAGGTGCAATCGCTGTCAGAAGTTAGGGCACTACGCATACGAGTGTAGTGCTCCGCGCCCAGTACCAAACAGCACTGAGTGAAATGGACGACAAATTGCCAGAAAGGGCAATGGGCGTGGGTCCAGCGCTGTTGCGAAGCCGCAACATCAAGACGGACCATCAAAAAATGGTCGGGGTCAGTAGGGGCGGAGCGCCCAACTGATCCAGCAACCTCAAGATAATTTGAAAATCTCTTGACGAAAGTTGCTCCAGATACACAATCATTGTGTGTCTCTGCACCTGGTGATGACGTTTCGCTCGTCACCTTGAAGTTGGAAGCGACAAATGATTTGTCGCTTCGTGCCCTAGTAGACTGTGGAGCGTCGAACAACTTTGTTCGTCGCCAGTCACTAGAGGGTCGTAGGCTCAAGTTCGTTGAGCGCGACATTCCCCATACGAGGTGACGGTGCGACTTGCAACAGGCGCATCGATTACCTTTAAGAAACGTGTAGTCGGAATCCACTACACGTTAGAGGGAGAACAGTACGATGATGACTTCATCGTACTAGATCTGGATGACAAATTTGATGTCATCCTGGTGTTACCTTGGCTCAGAAATTACGAGCCAAGGGTGAGCTGGCAGCATCGATCTGTGAAGATGCCCGCCACTTGTTCATCAGATGACCATCTGATGAACATCTTGGAGCGTCCACAAGCGTGTGGATGTTCTGCGAGTGAGTGCGATGGCCTCACTTGCGGTTCGGTCGTTAGCACGACTGCACAAGATCACAGTGTGGTTGATCACTACACTGTGGAGCAAGCTCCCGGCGGCTGTACAGAAGTACAGGCGGCGCCGAAGGTCCACCACACGAATAAGTCGAGTGGACCGGGACATGGATGTATGCGTAGCGGGCAGCATCTTAGAAGAAAGAAACCTGTTGCCTTCAAAGGGCAACATGGACATCCTAGATCGACTAGAGTGTCGACCGTAGAGGATCGGTGCCTGACTGTGGTTGCACAGCCACAGTCAGAAGACGTCGAGGGAATAAGTCCCCACGTACTTGAGGAAGGAATTCCTCAAGAGTCACTTGCTGAAGGATTAGGCCTTCAGCAACCTGTGGAAGCAAGTTCCCAGGAAGAAACCGAGACGTTGAACGTCTTGGTTAATGACGGATCAAGCGTAGGCGCTTATACGCTTGATCTGATTGTGCCTCCGAAGTTAACTTTGGAGATAACTCAGTTGCTAACGCTAGAACCGAAGCGGTTCTTGCGTGATCTGCGTAGTGGCAAAGTCAAGCAGATCTGCATACTCGTCACAGAGGATGAGTATGTGGCCGATATTCGGTCGGCAAAAGTGTTTGCTGAGAACGAACGGGTTCTCAGCAGCTCATCGATGGACGAAAGTGTCCTCGATGAAAAGACTCGGATTGAGCGATACACGTCTCAATCCTGGGAGTCACTTCAGGCAAATCCTTTGTATAAGGATTTGATCGAATTCAAGGACGTATTCCCAGAATCCGTACCTTGCAAGTTGCCTAAGGACAAAGGCACTCGACACGAGATCGAGCTC